CCGCCACCACCACCCCAGGTTTCATGCATACGCAACCGCGCGAAATCACCGAGAAGGAGGTGGACATCTTTTGACAACTCTTCCTGGGACTCTAAGCTGCTGGTCTCACTCAACCCACTGTCGCGACTTTTAACTATGAGGCCTAATCGAGTGCCCTCCCATTCCTTTAGCTTGTATAGGAACGCGTTGGTATGATGCGCATGCGTATTTGCAAATCAGGATTCCTCTACTCGAGTCTTTGCTTCTTAGTAGCCCATGGGGAAAAACTGATCTGAAATGTAACTGTCGGCTATGTCATGGGAAGCTTGACAGTTGCTGGTCTTCTTACCTCCATTAAATGAGTGCCAATCTGTGCAAAGTGGACATTTGCGGGTTTTACGTCTCACCTGACTTTGATATATGTGTATGCATTGACCTGATGCAGTAAACGCCATGCAAGCAACCAGGTTAAATTACAAATAACGGACCCTCATTCTGTTGGAAAACAACGATTCTTGTGCCACGGTTGATGTTCGTCCACTTGGTCGTTTGTGATGACTAATTTGGAAAAACGAGCTACCCTGAGGTAGGGAGAAATGAAGTTTCAGAGTATAGATCAAATTAAGGTGAATACTTTGTTGTGAAGTACTTGCTGTTCCAGCATTACTTTCAGCTGCGTAAACCCTTCACAATTGCTCTGCGTACGTATCGTGAAGGGATGCTCGAGCCACTTATGCTACTTGCCTCGACCCTCCAAATCGAGATATAACCTCTTCAAAGATGAATTAAGTTTAACCTCTGTCGAAAGATGAGGTTCATTCGGATCAGGTCCTGTCTAGACAAATTGATCCATGAAACAGGGGCTGAATTTGATAGATGTGAAGAAATACACATACACAGGTGGACCTTAGAATGATAATTTTGGATTTTTTGCTTCGCGACACCGTGGGCAACTCCTGACGCTTCTTCTTTGCGGGCTATACTAGCCCCTTAAGAAAGCTGAAATTCATCCCACGCAGTTGTTCATTTAGCGACCTCGGTTGAGAGTTACCCGTGAAAGGCTCATTCCACTACTAGTTGGATGTTCTTTGGATTCCCTGTTCGTATTCGCCCACTTTTTGTTACTGCTGGAAAACTATCTGCTATGTGTCTGTTCTTTCTAGTTGACGGCAAATTGGATCAAGGTGGTATAGTATTTTCCCAACTCGGCGTCCGGGGTTGTCTCGGCCTCTGCGGCGTCTGAAAGTTGGTTCTGCAGTAGGGCACGTAGATTCTGAGGTGTCCTTTAGTGTTGGAGTTAAGACCATAGGTTCAATCTTGGATTTTAAAGCCACCTTTCGACGTCTGTGTTGGTATTTAAAGGCGGGAGGTCTCTGAGTGCTGCAACAAGTGTGACTTGTTCGACGTTTATCGTTTTCAACTCGGTAGGCGGAGATATTCTGTCCTGATAATGTTGTGGGCGTGGTACAGTGATTGGGTTTTCTTTGTGTAGAGTAAATTTTATCCTTAGAGGTAATAGACGTCCATCCCATCTCAATATTAGTGTTCGCTGACCGCTTCTAGCCTTAATGGTGCATTCAAGAAAATACGATTTAAGAAAAATAGATAAATACGCAATATTTTAAAAGGATTTGGAACTTATAATACCACATTGAATGCCACTAGCATGGGGACGGTGGCCACTAGCTATGTGGAGAGCTAGCACTTCCTTATAATACCTGCGAAATGTGCTGACTCCAATTGGCTTTTTTCACGGTATCTTTTGCCTTTAATTTGGCAGACATTACAGTGGGATACCGACAGCTGAAATGCTTCCGTCCCACCGACTGCAAGTAGCTACTTAAACAGTCGTCAGAGAGGGGAAAGGCCCTGACTCTCGTTGTGCGCAGACTCTACGAGAACAGTGATGCAGTTTGCCCGAGTATGAGCTCGAGTACAATTGCACTGCACACAAGTTCACTCGCACCATTCGGGTGGCTCTGTCTACATATCCTGTTAATCTTTCCTAATCTCATCCACTGCAGCAGCTCCCAGTCTTATTGTGTGGACCTGATACCAATGCAAAGGAGGAGGATAATTGTGATGGCACAGTCATAGTAAATATCAAAATGCTAATTAGCCTCTTCTCATGCTTCTCGGTATCCATCTCTCAGGCTCATACCATAGCTGCTCTTCTTGACACC